TTAAGAGATAATCAGGGAAACTGCATTATGCTAAAAGGTACCATAGACAATGAAGTAATACAAAAAAAATTTACAAGTTTCTCTAATAAAGGCCTCATTTCTCAAATCTATACTGAGTATAGAAGTGAGTCAAATTCATAAAAATAAAAGTTGTTCCCCAATTGATAAATGGTCAAAGGATACAAACAGGCAGTTTTCAGAAGAAGTCAAAGCTATCTGTAGTCATATGAATAAATGCTCTAAATCACTATTAATTAGAGAAATGCAAATTAAAACAATTCTGAAAAAATAAAAAAAATCTGAAAATAAAAACCTCTCACACCTATCAGAAATGACAAATGCTGGAAGGGATGTGGGAAAAATAGGTACACTAATGAATTGCTGGTGGAGTAGTGAAGTGGTCTAACCATTCTGGAAAACAATTTGGAACTATGCCCAAAGGTCTATAAAAATATGCATACCTTTTGACCCAGCAATACCACTATTAGGTTTGTATCCCAAAGACATAGAAGAAAAAGGAAAATTACCTATATGTACAAAAATATTTATAGCTCCTTTTGTGGTGGCAAAGAATTGGAAATCAAGGGGAAGCTTATCAACTGAGGAATGACTGAACCAATTGTGGCATATGATTGTGATGGAGTACTACTGTGCTATAAGAAATGACAAGGGGTGTGGTTTCAGAAAAACATAGCAAGACCAATATGAACTGACACAAAGTGAAGTGAGAAGAACTGGGAGATCATTGTAGGAGAACTACAGCAATGTTGCAATAATGATCAACTGCAGGGGCAGCTAGATAACACAGTGGATAGAACACTGGCCCTGGATTCAGGAGGACCTGAGTTCAAATCTGGCCTCAGACACATAATTCTTACTAGCTGTGTGACCCTGGGCAAGTCACTTAACCCCCTTGCCTAGCCAAAAAAAATAAAAATAATAATGATCAACTACTCTGATTAATGCAATGATCTAAGAAAATTCCAAAGGATTCATAATGAAAAAATGCTATCTACCTCCAGAGAGAGAGCTGATGAACTCTGAGTGCAAATGGAAATAGAATTTTCTTACTTTCTTTATTTTTCTTGTCTTTTTTGAAATATGGCAAATATAGAAATATGTTTTGCATGATTTCACATGTATAATTGATATATTGCTTGTATTCTTAGTGGGTGGGGAAGGGGTGAGAGGGAGAGAATTTGGAACTTAAAATTTAAAAAGAAAAGAATGTTAAAAATAAATAAGTTTAAAAATGCTTTCAGTTAAGAATAGTTGAAGACTCAAAATAAATATTCTGCCCATATTTTTTGACTATTTTATTTTTTCCCAATTACACATAAAAACAATTTTTAACATTTGTTTTATAAAAAATGAGTTCCAAATTCTCTCACTCTCTCCTCCCTGCCCCAGTAAACAATTTAACTTAGGTTATACATATCTACACATATTTTAAAAGCCCCCATCTATGGGGTCAGGCTTAAATCACTCCTGAACTTAGCCCATGGCCATTGTCACATCTGAAACACCTTCAGTGAGTCTAAAACAGAACTTATATTTTCCCCAAAACTTAACTTTCTCTATTACTGTCAAGGGCACCACCATCCTCATAGTTCATAGCCTTGGTATCTTCCTTTTCATTCCTTTCACATCCATTATCTAAATGGATTTTGGCATCTAGCCAAATAATGTCCTGTTTACCTCTATAACTTGTTTCCATTTGTTCCCTTCTTTTTATTCTCACTGCCACCACCCTAGGTCAGGTCCTCACCACCTCTCACCTGGATCATTGCAATAGTCTTCTTGTGTGTGTGTGTGTGTGTGTGTGTGTGGCAATTGGGGTTAAGTGACTTGCCTAGGGTCATACAGCTAGTATCATGTGTCTGAGGTTGAATTTGAATTCAGGTCCTCCTGACTCCACCTAGCTGTCCCTGCAATAGCTTTCTTTTTTTTTTTTTTAATTTAATTTTTTTTTTTTGGTGAGGCGATCAGGGTTAAGTGATTTACCCAAGGTCACACAGCTAGTAAGTGTCAAGTGTCTCAGGCTGGACTTGAACTCAGGTCCTCCTGACTCCAAGGCCAGAGCTCTATTCACTGCGCCACCTAGCTGCCCCAATAGCCTTCTAATTACCTAGCCTGCCTCAAGCTTCTCTCCACTCTAATCCATACTACACACATCTGCCAAGGTGATTTTCCTTAAGTACAAGTCTGACCATCTCAACTCCCCTATCTCAGTCAATAAACTGCAGTGGCTCCCTATTCCCTCTAAAATGAAATAACTCCTTTGTCACTTAAAGCCGGCTCTTTCCTACCTTTTCAGTCTTCTCAAACATTACTCACCTCCACAAACTCTATGATCCAACCATACTTTTTTACCTGTTGCTCTTCACATACAACCTCCATCTCCTATCTCAATATCTCCTATGTCTGATATTCTCTCCAAAGTTCACCTTCTGTAAGAGATCTTTCCCTCTCTTTCCACTCCCCCACCCCATGCCCCCCTCTCCTTGGCTTCCCCCAATTACTGGTGTCATCCTCTTTAAGGTTACTTCCATCTATTCTTATATGTACAAGCAGCTAGGTAGTGCAGTAGATAGGACACTAGACCTCATATCAGCAAGAACTAGGTTCAAATCTTACATTTACTAGTTCTATGACCCTGAACAAGTCACTTCACCTGCCTCAGTTTCCTCATCTGTGAAATGAAGATAATAATAGCATGTACCTCCCAAGGCTGTTGTGAGAATAAAATGAGATAATATTTGTAAAAACACTGTGTAAACCCAAAAGGACTCTATAAAGACTAGCTATTAGTTTTGTTATGTATCTTGCATGAACCTGTTTATAAGTATTTTGTCTCTCCTATTAAATGTAAACTCTTTGAGGGAAGGGGCTGTTTTTGCTTTTTCACTGTATCCCTAGGGTTTAGCACATAAGTGCTTCCTAAGTGTTTATTGATCGATTGATTGATTGATTCAACATTATTCTGCAATTTCCCTCTAGGAAGAAGAGGAGGGAGGGGGGACAGGGGCACAGTATTCTCTGTGGTGGGACAGTGTACACAATGAATCTCTTTTTGCCCCAGTACCCCAAGTTCTGCTGGGGTGAGGCAGGTTTATCTATTTGACCATCATCTTCGGTCTTGTGACATCTGATTCTTTATTCGTCTGATTAAGGTTCTTAAGACAGCAAGGGAATCGAGTAGATTGTCTAGTTCAATCCTCCCATTCTACAAATGGAAGTAACTGAGGTACCAAAAAGAGAAGTAATAAGGGAAGCTAGGTGGCACAGTGGCTAGAACACTGGCCCTGGAGTCAGGAGGACCTGAGTTCAAATTTGGCCTTAGACACATAACACTCACTAGCTGTGTGACTCTGGGCAAGTCACTTAACCCCAATTGCCTCACAGAAACAACCACCATAAAACAAACAAAAAGAGAAGTAATTTATCAAGAGTTGCACTGCAGGTTGGTAGCAGAGGACTAGGCTAGAGGCCCTGAGAAGACAAAGTCTATGCTAGAACTCAAGGCTGCCAATTCCTAGTGCTATATTACCTTCTGCTACTCCACTATCTGTCTTCTGTGTTATCATGAATTATTATTTAAATACCACCAAGTCAAGGGCCCCCATCTTATGGTAGAAGAAATCCTGGACTAGGACGTAGAACATCTAGACTGAGCTTCCGTTTGAAATATTGGCTGATCAGTTAGTTGTGTGATCTTGGGTATTTCATTTTCCCTCTTTAGCTTTTTCCTCTGTAAAATGAGGATAATAAACTCTGCCCTTCCTCCCTCACAGGACCATTGTGATTACACATATGAGCTAATCTAGACAGGAAAGTTAAGTAAGATCATGTAACTTTTCACCTGCTTCCTTAGCATTTTCTTCAGGACCCAAAACCTAGTTCAGGACAGCCATGGGGATTAGATTAGATTGGATTGGATTTGCTGGTTAGTAGCTCACTGAGCCTCGGAGAGGTGAGGTAGGGACACCCTGTCCTCTGTGGAACTAGGCTGGCAAGGAGAGGAGATAAGGAGGGGGGCCAATGAGTGACCCTGTTTATCTTTCTCTCCACTGCCTCCCTCCAAGGAGAAGAGAAAGCTTCAGAAATGATCAAAGAAATATGGAAGCTTCATCAACAACTGCCCAGACAACACCACCGACAACCCCACTATTAGTTGCTTCTTCCTAACCTCCCTTGAATCACTCAAAAGAAAAATATCCTTAGTGGCCTGCAGCAGGTACAAAGGGAGAGGTGTAATAAGTGTGATGAGGGGGTTGTAAGGTCTCTTCCAAATCTAAATCCTAAAATCCCAAGAATTTTGGGGGGGTGTTCTAATAGACCCTCCAAAGTTCAGGTACATACTCTTTTTCTGTGGGTGAACTCGGCCAGTCCTAATTAGAAATTTTGCTCATTCTGCTTTTCACTTCCCACCTCCTACCCTTCCCTAGGATGGGCCTCCCCATCCCCGGAAAGCTCTCAATCTGGTCCAGCCACAGGGCCTGCTCAGAGGAAATACATTGCCTTCACTCTCACTTCCTGTCAAACAGGAAAGGGTTAATTCCTCAAACACACTAAAGGGGCCAGAGAGGCAGTAATTAACCCGACGGGGACCCACATGAGGGGTTTTGGATGAAAGGGACAAGCTTGGCCAGGAGGTGTGGGGGTGGGAGGACAACGCAGGCATAGACTGTGAAGACCAGGACACAGACGCGGTCAGTATTCAGGAATAGAGCCTGGGAACTTTGGGAGAGGCAGGGTGAGGCAGGGGCGGAGTAAGAAGCTGGGGCCTCAGACTGCGCCAAGGCGGGGCAGAGTCCAAGTGGTACCTACTGGGGCAGCCAATCGAAGAGCTGGAGACAGGACCGGGGCAAGTGCACGCTCCGGGATTGGGCAACAGCCGGAGGCAGGGTGGGATGCCGGCCTCTGGGCCGCTGTCCAAGTTTCTTGGCAATGCATGCATATATACCTCAATGAAGAGGCGCCTGTGGCGGGGATTTTGCTGCTCTTGAGTGCTTCGCTGTTGTGGGTCTCGTGCTAACATCGCCCCATAGTTCCCGGGGTCATTCCATCTAGGGCACATTAAGTGTAGCAGAGCTTTCTATCTTTGAGTCATTCCCTCAAGTATTCCTCTCTGCGCATCTACTCCCTTTCTTTGCTCCCTCAGGTCCTGCAGCAAATAGAAATGAACGACTCCTTAGAAGAGATGCTTATCCATTCCTACGAATTCGAGAAGCTAGTGAACTTTCGACCCTTGCTGTGTGAATATTGGTGAGTAAAATCCCTTTGCCCCTGTCCGGGGAACAAGCATAACTGAGCCAGGACTTACACTCTTATGTTTTCCTTGGATGCTGGGGAGACAGGTCATGGGGCTTAGGAGAGAAGGCTGGAGAATGATCTCCAAAGGAACTGATTTCCTGCTTCTCTTCCCCTCTCGGAAGCAATTCCCTACTCAGAAGGGCAGGGGCAGGGGAGAAGAATCAGAGAGAACGAACAGAAAGGAAAGGTGGAAGGTAGTAAGTAGAAGTGGGAAAGGACTTTATAACCTACTTGGGAGGCCAAGTTCCACAGAGTGTGTGGGGAGAGAGGGAAGTTCTCAAACTCCACTGCAGCTCTCCTCCAAGGGTTGACTGGACAGACATCCTACCTACCCCCAGAAAGGTAGAGAGGTCCAGGTGAAAAGACCATGTGACACTTAAATGAGATGAAAGATGAAGTAAAAATAAACACTGAGAGAGAGAGAAGGAGAGAGAGAGAGAGAGGAACAACAAGAGCCAGTGGGGAATCAGATTGTATTGATCTGCTTTCCCTTCCCACATCTCCCACCTGGGCTAGTTCTTCCCCTATTCCCATACTCTATCCCACTCCATACTCTCTTCCTCTCACCTTATGTCCTGGGAGAGCCACGTAGTAGATGTGTCCAATGAGGACTGTAGGTGTCTCTGGCTCTCAGGTGATGATAATTATGAGCCAGGCTTAGTACCAGTCCTGATGAGGGTACCTTTTCTTCCCTCTATGTATATATCTCTTCCTGGCTTTCCAGAACTTTATCTTGGAGGACTAGGATTTACTCTATGGGTTTGTGTATGTTTTTCTGTCTGTAAAAATGCATGTGTATCTGTATATGTCAGCATATATGTATATACAACTGTCTGTTAATCTCTCTGTGTGGAGATGAACATGGGGCTGCTAGAAACCAGGGGCTCAGGGTGGGGTTGGTCCCTCTGAGTGAGCAGCCACCCTTCACAATTGGCATTTTGTGCCCTGAATACACCATTGTCTAGGGAACTGGGAAAGGAGGAGATGTCTGCTCTGCTCACTAGTTTTCCTCCCTCAGCTTTCCTGTTCCCATCGATCCCCACACACACACACCAGTGCCTAAATCAGGAAGCAGGAGAGACATGCCATTACCAATCAAAATCTCTGAGGCAGATGGGAGGCTGGTCCTGGCCCTGGCAATGAGGGAAGGAGAGGAATGGATATACGGGTGGTTTTCTTGCCCCAACATAGAGTGCAGGAGGTAAACAAGAAGCCTGGGGACAAACAGCAGGATATTAGTGAGTGTGTAAATGAGGAAGGGCACAAATGAGGAAGGTACCCTCAACATTCAGAAAGGTATAAACAAACCTTGACTCCTTTAGCATCAACTGCCTTCTCTGCCAAATCACTGTGCTACCAGGACCAGGAGATTTTAATTGTCCACATTTCCCAAACCTTAAGCTGGCATTTTTTTGGGAAAAGTCCTTTCCAACCCCAAAAAGATTTCCCACAGTGCCTTAGTAATCCATCTCTCTTACCCTTCCAGGACAACATCCTTTCTCTTCGTCCTTATCTATCTAATGTTCACTTTCATGGGGCAGAGATATATGAAGGACCGAAAAGGCTTCAATCTACGATTGCCCTTGACCATTTGGTCATTCACCCTTGCCATTTTCAGGTATTGTCTCTCAGTCCCATTCTTCCTAACGTTCTTCCATATCCCACGGGTTCTAGACTTCCCTAAGGTTCACCACCTCTATCCCTTGGACCCCCAATCTCCTTTCATCACTAGTGGCCCCTAACCATTTCTTTCCATTTCTCAGATCACAACAAATCTCTAATTCTCCCACCTTCTGGGCCACCAATGCCCAGCACCTTCCTTACCAGGATTCTTTATCCTCTCCCCCACTGTTTCCTAATCCATTTTCCACTTGCCTCTAGGCCTCCCCCACCCTTTAAGTCCCTAATTTTCTAGGCCTTCAATGCTTTCTGAGGAGTTTGCCACCCCTGGAATCCCCACATCTATATTCTCATGGTCTCTGACACTCTCAGAATCCCTTGAGGTTCTCATACCTTTCAGGCCTCTGAATCCCCTGTCCTATAAGATCTTCCACCCTATAAATGGAGATCCCCTTTTAAGTGGGAGGTGGGGTCAGGGACAGTCAAGGAAAAAGGGCTTATTGGCTTTGGGCTATTTCAGCATCCTGGGAGCTGTGAGGACATGGAAATATCTAGGAGCTATATTGATGTGGGGGGGGCTGAAGAGTTCCTTGTGCCACCATGGCTTCATCACTAACCCCACTGCATGCTTCTGGGCCTCGCTTTTTGTACTCAGCAAAATTGTGGAGTTCGGTAAGTTACAGTTTCCACCAGCCAAATTCCTGTGGAAGTCACCTTCCCACCTAGGAATTCCCTAGGAATCCCTTCCCCACTTCCCAGAAATGTTCTCCCCATTCTCAGAAAGCCCCTACCCTGAAACACAGTTTACTATAGTGAAAAGAACATTGGTCTTGCTTTCAAGAAGATCTGGGTTCAAGTTCAGTTGTGTTACACAGAAGCTACCTGTCCCTGAACTTAATCTCTGTAAGCTCCAGGTAATCCATCTATAAAATGGGGATAATAGTACCTGTATTACCTATCTCACATGGCTGTTGTGAGGAAAGTGCTTTGCAAATGAAGTGCTACATCAGTGTTATTATTAAGAGTAAAAGTAATAATAATAGACCTTCTTCTTACCTTGAGATGCTTACCCCCAGAACCCCTTTTCTCATTCTGGGACTTACCCTTTCCTGCTGTTCCCACTTCTCAGGTGTTGTGTGGGAAAAAATGGAACCCAGTGCTATGTGGGGAAGTGGGCAGGTGTTCCTAATGTTCAATGCAGAGGAGGCTTCCCAGTCATGACTCTCACCCTCCCTCTCTTCCCATCCCCAGGGGACACCGCATTCATCATACTTCGGAAGCAGCAGCTCCTATTCTTGCATTGGTTCCACCATAGCACGGTGCTATTGTACACATGTTTTGCCTACAAGAATGGTGGGGCAGGTGCTTACTGTTTCATGACCATGAACTATGGCATACATGCTGTCATGTATTCTTACTATACAGTGAAGGCCCTGGGTCTGAAACCCCCCCAAATTCTGCCTATGATCATCACCACTCTGCAGATCTCACAGATGTTTGTTGGGGCTTCTGTTAGCATCCTGAGCTTCCTCTGGCGCAAGGATTGTGCCTGCCACAACTCTAAGCAATTCCTCTTCTGGACTTTTGCAATGTACTTAGCCTACTTTGCCCTTTTCCTGAACTTCTTTTACTGGGCCTACTTCAGAACTGTTCAAGCCAAGGCTAAGGTCAAGGCTAAGAGCCAGTGAAGTCAGAGATTTAAAGAGTAAGAGAGCCAACTACCCCTCTCCTTTGGAAGGGGACCTTTCAGTGAGGGAAAAGTCCTGAGGGAGGGAATGAAGAACAGGGTCAGGCTCTGGGGATAATTGTGTGATCCCCTGCTAGTCAAATGTGTTCCTGTGGAGGGAAGGGAAATTTTACCAAGATGTGCTCCCTCCCATGCATACACACAGAAAAAAGCCCCATAATTTGATATTTATGTTTTTAATGTGAAGGCCAAAGAGAATGTTCGCTTTTCAGGCCCTTGGGTAAGATGGAGGCTAGGGCTGGTCCTATCATAGAGAAGTAGCCCTGGCCTTCTGAGGTTATTTATATTTCTATTGAGAAATCTTAATTCTTCTTGCTATATTTTAAAAAATTAAACATCTAAAAAATGTGCCTTCTCTCCCCTACTAGAAGTGCTCCTTGGAGTGGGATCTGCTTTGCCCATATGGAAAATTTAGCATGAGAGTTTGGCATCAACAGTTGGGAGTAAGAGAGATATGTGGAGGTCAGCCTAGATGTGGAAATACCCACACACATTTGTATGAACAATAATATATATAGAAACACAGACAAATCTACAGACACTGATGGCCCTTAGCACCAACGATGACTGTGGACAACTCAGAGGCAGTAACTGAGATGGAACCTATCAGAGAAAACACTGGCCATAAGAACAGGGAGCCCACATGTACATACATAGAGGCAAACATAAACACTGCTAGGGACATACACACACAGACAACAGATATAGATAACAGTCACTTAAGAAATGTTCTTTATAGACTCATAGAATATTAGGAGTAGAAGGTAAAATGAGAGAGTGGTACTAGATGAGGAAATAAGTCCAGAGAAGGGAGTGACCCTTGGAAAAAGTGATTCATCAAATTAGTGACCAGTCCAGGACTGGGGCCCTAGAACTTCTGCTTTCTGGTCCTTCAGCCTCTTTCCACTGCACCATACTCCCTCGGTTTATGATGAGGTGACATACATACTCCCAGAGTCACACAAATGCACACACCCTCTATCTTCTTATTTCCACCATCCCCTTGTCTCTGATCCCCTCTGATCTCTGAAGTGATCAGGCCAGATCTGGTGGCAGTTCCCCTTGCGGCCACGAGGTGGAGCCGCGTCCGCATTGATTGTGGCAGACGGAGTAGGCTGGTCCTCGCATGTCTTCAACCTCTGCTCTAGCGCTCCCTGGCCTTGGTCTTTTCTCCCACTAAGCCACAGGTTTCTCTTCCCATTCTACATAAGGGCAAACTGAGGCTTGGAAGTTGGGGCAGGGGAGTGGGGGTTAAATACCTCCACCTAGCGAGGTAGGGTTAGGAGTCCTATTTGGGGGAGGGGTGATGAGAGGATTAGATTATGCCCAAGGAGGCTGAACCCCAGACTGAATCAGCAGGTGGCAGGGGAGTCTCCGGTTTATTTGATTTCTTTTCTTTTCTTTTTAAACCGAGAGGGGGAGGGAGCCGGGGATACCTGAAAGGGTCCAAGACGAGCTGCGCGGAACGTTTGTCCCCCCCCATATATCCCCCGGGGGGGCTCACAGTGATCTAGCCACCCTTCCCGGTCTCAGGCTTGGAGCCACTGTTTCTGGACCTCCGGTTTGTCACTCAGAGTACCGTAGAGACCAGTGGGTGGAATGGGGACTGCCCCCCGCCCCAGTTCTTCCCAGAGAAGAAGTGGTGCTCTAGTCCAGGCGCTGGGAGGGCCGAGAGGGTGAAGCTGAGCAAGCCCTGGGGAACTGCAGTCTTAGGCCGAGCTGATCTGTCCGCTGCCCTGCCCCTGGTGGGCGGGTGGGATTGGCTGGGGGAGGGGGCACCGGCTGCTCATACTGGCCGCTCCACGGCGTATTGGCACGGGCTGAGGTTGGCGGCAGGGGCCGGTCCGGGCACTGCGGGATAACTGAAGGAGGCGTGCTGTTTGGCTTTGAGCCGCAGACTGGCCAGGCTTGAGTTACACGGGTCCCTATATACGTAAGGGGAGGAGGCAGCGGCGGCTGCGGCGGCTGCTGAGGCGTAGGGGCAAGACACCGCCCCCGAAGACACGGCAGCCGGGGCCAGCCCCGCAGGACCCCCGCCCAATCCCTGCAGGCTTCCTGGGCCAGCCACGGCGCCCGCAGCGCCCGCAGCAGCTGTGGGTACCATGGAGGCAGCGGTGGCGATGGAGCCGGGAGGAGAGAACACAGGCTGCGAGGCCAGGGGGCCCACATTGACCGAGTTGAAGGCGAACGGAAAGGTCTTGGCTGCAAGCGGCGGGGCCAAGGCCTTGGGCGGCCAGTTCCCGTAGGAGTACCCGGGGTACAGCTCCTCGTAGGGAGGCACCAGCCCGCCCAGCGACGCCCCGAAACCGCCTTTGCACAACTCAGCTTGCTGGCTCCTCTCTCGCTTCCGCCACTTGGCCCGGCGATTCTTGAACCATACCTGAGGACACGAGGGGACCCGGGGGTCATAAAGGGCAGGTAGCATGGGGCTACCGAGAAACAGTAGAGGTCAGAGGAATTCAGGGTCGAGGGGATACGGAAAATGAGCTGGGCATTGTTTCTAAGGGGAGACAAAACGATGAAAGGAGGCAATGGATCTAGCTTAGGTGAGCCGAGGAGCTAGCTGAAGGTGGGGCAGGGTTAGGGAGCAGGAAGACGATTGGTTGGACCAGGTAGGGTGGAGCCACGGGAGGCGGGGCGAAGCTGGCCATGGGAGGCTAGGTGGGTCCAGGTATGAGTGTAGGGAAGTATTTATTGGTAAGGAGGAATAGGAGGAGGGTCGGGGGAGTGCAGAAGAGGGTTAGATAGGGTAGCGTAGGATAAGGTAGGGTAGGTTAGGGTGGAAGAGAATTGCTGAGGATGGGAAGAGGTAGCCCCCATACCCGAACTCGAGCCTCGGTGAGGTTTGTCCACACTGCAATCTCTTCTCGGGTGCTCATGTCCGGGTAGCGGTTTCGCTGGAAGGTCGCTTCCAGCTCCTGCAGCTGCTGGCTGGTGAAATGCGTTCGCTGCCGTCGCTGCTTCTTCTTTAGGGAGCCATCCTCAGTTGGGGACCCTCCGGGCAATTGAGGTGGGGCCTTCTCCGTATCTAGATGGGAGTAAGGAAGGACAAAGTCACCCTGGCAGGACCCAGGTCCTTCACTATGTCTAGGCCACTGTGTCCTCCTCCAATCACTGCAAGGATCAACCTAGGCCCCAGCTAGCCCCTCACCAGGGCCCACCTTCTATTCTAGGCCTCTGAGCAAAGACCCTCTCACTCACCGCTATGTTCCTGGCCCTTGCAGCTGTGCTCCGGGTGAGGGGGGTGGGGAGTGCCGGCGTCAGACAGAGACAGTGCAGGGCTCCTGGCCTCAGCCTCACTCAGCAGGGCAAACTCCATGGGGCCCAGAGCAGGGTGGCTCTGGAGGCAAGGAGGAAGGGTGGTCAGCAGGAAACCTTAAATTGGCAACCTAGGCCCTACCCCCACCCCACCAGTTACCTAGGCTGTACAGCCTAGGAATCATTCTTGACTCTTCATTCTCAGTCCCATATGCAAACAGTTGCCAAATCTTATTGATTACACTTTTACAATATCTCATGCATCTGTTCCCTTCTCTCTACTCATAATAATCACCCTAGTTCAAGCCCTTATCACTTCTCACCTCCACTATTGCAGTAGTCAACATATTGGCCCTTTAGACTCTTCCCTTTCCAATATCCTCCTTGCAACTGCCAAATTGATATTCCTAAAGCATAGGTCTGACCATGTCACTCCTCTGCTGGAGAAGCTTTAGTTATTCCCTATTACCATTAGGATAAAATATAATCTCTTCTGGCCCTTAACACTCTCACTCCAAACTATCTTTCTGGGCTGATTACATCTTCCCCCTACTCACACACTCTATACTACAGCCAGATTGTGCCATCTTCTGCCTCTGTGCCTTTGAATAGGCCACCCCCCCAATGACTGGAATGTTCTTCCTTCTCATTTCTACCTCTTGGAATTCCTAGTTCCCTTTAGAGCTCAGCTGAAGTACTGTATCCTTCAAGGGGTCTTTCAGATTCCCCCAGTTATCACCTTCCTCCAAATTGCTGTGTATTTATTCTGTATAGATCTTGTATTTACTCCTCTGAGAACATGGTTATTTTCACACAGATATTCTATGGAACATAAACTCCTTGAGGGCAGAAACTGTCTCATTTTTGTATCTGTTGCTGAGCACCATACTTAGTGGGCACTTTAATAAATGCCTGGTAATTTATGAGTTGCACCAAAGTGGGATGCATCAATATTCCTTACTGGTCAAGTGAGATAAAAAGTGATGGCCTTAGGAGGCAGTGGCTATAGTTACTTCCATCTATACCAATGTCTAAGTCCTAGAAAGAAAAGTTTATCCTCAGAGGGCTCTATATGAACACATACACACACACACACACACACACACACATACACACACACATTCAGACAGACATCTGTTGATGTTTCCTTCTCCCTAAATAAATAACTAGATGCACATACAGCCACTATACAAATGGTCTCCCTCCTACATCCACACTAAGAACCTTACCACACATAACTCACACCCCCTGTTGTCTGGATACCCTGGTCTGATTTTACATTTAATGCAGAACAAAATACCCTGTAAGTAACATACTGCACTCTCTTCTCAGTGATCTCATAAATATGTATCATAGGTACACAAGCTACCACAAATATCCACATATATAGTCTATATACAACCCCTCCATGTATGACCCCTTTTTGTCTCCTATAGGCTTTCTTGGAGAAACCATTGTTGGGTTCAACCTAGCTCCATTCAATTCAATTTAACAAACATTTATAAGCATTTATTACATACATTGCTACATTAGAGACTGGAGGACATGAAAAACATAAAAAGAAATATATCCTGCCCTCAAGGAACTTACATTTTACCAGATGGGAAAGCCCTAGGAATTCAGCTCCTAAGGTATTTCTGACCCCAGGACAGACCCCCACATCCATATTGGGCTCCCCTATTTTATACTGTCCTGGAAGGTGACCCCTTAAACTGTGACTTCTTAAGGGCCTTGAAGAACTTATTCTGGTGGGAGGGGAGATTCCCAAGAGGGCATAGGGATTCCAACATCTCTTTATAGGGAAAGGAGTAGGGCATTCTGGGATGATGCTGTCCTGGCAGGAAGTATCAACCTGCCATGTCAGCCCAGAGTAGTAGTGGGGTGTAGTTCTATGCAAAGTTCTGCATCATAGCATTGATATAGTAGACAAGCCCCAATTGAGTCATACCTCACTTTGCTTCCTCTGAATTTGTTCTAAGTCTTTCCTGGGAAGGAGCAGATGGATACTTATGTGCAGATGGTAATCCCCCCTTTCTCTACCCAACTGTAAAGGATCCCAGCTGCCCCTGTCCCCAACACAGTTACATCCTCCTCCCATCATTCTCTGGGCATGCCTGGCCAACAATCCTTTCAGCCACTACTGCCAGCTACCAGTCACTCTCTCCAATCACTACCTATCTTATTCTGTCAAAAGTCTCTCCCTTAACTCATCCCTCTAAGACAGGAATTGGGGGCCAGAGCCAAAACCAGGAATGGCTTCCAGTTTTTCCTGTAGCCAGAGAAAACTTGACTTCACCACTCCATCCTCACCTTCAAAATATCTTTTTCTGTGTCTAGAGAAGTGAGTCTTTGAAACTAGAAGGAAAGAGGGAAAACATGGGAGAGTTGTGGAGGTCAGGGAAGAGGAGAGGTCAGGCAGCATGAGGGCCCTCAAGACCCTCCTCTAGGCCCGTCAAGTCATCCAGAAAGTATAAAGAGAAACCTTTGGATAGTAAAGACAAACCAGAGATGAGCCTTCCAGAAGCAGATTCCAATATCTTTTACACTTTTCTTATCATTTCAACTTTCCTGGCAATTCCTACATACTCACCCATCCCTCCCAAATCTCTAGGTTTGAATATTAGGCAGCAAAAAGAATCTCAACCTTTAGAATAGGTTGAACGTTTTCTTGCCTGGGTACAGTTTAGTTCTCCGAGGGTGAGGATGTGTAGGGCAGAAGGATCATACATTCCTTCTTTCCTTACCAACTTAGAATCCTCCCCTCACCCCCCACCCATTTTTTACCTGAGTATGAGAAGAAAAGAGTATACAAAACCTAGGAGTCCATCTGTTTCTTCCCTACTCCTTGTCTTCTTGATATATCCTAGAATCTAGATCTCCCTTTCCTGGGTACTGTGAGTGGTTAGTAACCACCCTCAGGGTACTGCTGTACTGATAAAGAGCAAGGGAGAAGGGTCCAGGGATGCCCAAATCTCATCTCAGGTAGTATAGTAGGCACTTAGATGGCATAATGGTTAGAGTACAGGACTTGAATTTGAATCCTTCCTCGGACCTTTACTAGCTGTATGACCCTGAGTAAGTCACTCAACCTCTCTGTGCCTTAGTTTCCCATCAGTAAAATGGGGATAATAATAGCATCATACCTCATAGGATTGTTACGAGAATCAAATGAGTTAAGATTTTAAAAGCTCATAGAGAGCGAAGTGAGCAGAAACCAGAACATTGTACACAGTAACAGCTACATTGTATGATGACTGACCTTGATAGACTTAGTTCTTCTCAGCAATACAAGGATCTAAGACAACTACAAAAGACTCATGATAGAAAATGCTATCCACATCCAGAGAAAGAACTATGGAGTCTGAATGCAGATCGAAGCATACTATTTGCTCACTTTCTTTTTTTTTTTTTGCTTTGTTTCTTCTTTCCTGTGGTTCCTCCCATTTGTTTTAATTCTTCTTTACAACATGACTAATATGAAAATATGTTTAATAAGAATGTATATATAGAGCCTATATCAGATTGCATGCTGTCTTGGGGAGGGGAGACGGGAGGGAGGTGGAGAAAATTTCAAACTCAAAAGTTTATGGAAGCGAATGTTGAAAACTAGAAATCAATTAATTTAAATTTTTTTTTAAAGTTTTTGAAAAGCTCATGTAGCTTAAAGTGCTTTGTAAATTCTAGCTATTATTATTAAATGAGTCTTAACACTTCTGGGTCTCACATATCACCATAGGTCTTTGGGCCTTGAATCCTGGGATTTTGTTTGTCTTGGACAATATCCACCTCTATCCCCCAAACAATCTTTCAATCTCTGGGCCTTAGCTTCTTCATATATTTGGGATAGAAGTGGTGAACATGTAGAAAACTAACAACCAGAGAAGAAGAAAAAAAAGAGAAGACATGAGAAACAGAGGCTAACGCTCATACAACTCACAGGGTTCATGTTCACTACAGTAGCTATTCGTATACTTACATGGAGACAGACCTAGTGACATGTGTACACACAACTGCTTATACACACTCTTCTTCATGGATATAAATACACACAACTCAAAGATAAAGGTGCTCACACACAGAAACAATCTCATACACATCTACTATTACATGCTATCATTCATACACAGAAATACTCACTCAGACACTCAAACTCAGACAGACATACCCACATGGAGACACAGCCTTCTCACCCTTGCTCTGTGACAGTGACAGCTGCTTTGGACGTTTTGGAGTCTGTGGCTCTCCCCACTTGGGCCCCTTTCCACCCCATCCCCCAACCCTTCAGCAGGCAGGCTCCAGGAGCTAATGACTCTCCCCGAGGGAAAGGGGAACGTGGATGGTTTGGATGCTGAGCTAGAGAAAGCCTGGTAGACTGTCTGGGAGAAGAGATAGGACTCAGGCGTCACCAAGGAACCCAATGAAGGCAGAGTACTCTTGGCAAGTGGGAAGAAGGTGGGAAGTGACCCCACTTCTCAAGACCCATTTCCCTTCATGTTCCCTGTTCCCTTAGATATTACAGCTACATCTCCGTCCCCATAGTTCCCTGTGGAGGCACAGCCTCTTACTCCTTTAATGAGGACAATTATGGGTTTTGGGAGGACACATTTAGTCTGAGCTCAGCAGTGAATATGTGAATTGTAGCAAACAGTTGAACCTGGAGATAAGAAGTGAGCTAAGAACTACCTCTAGAACCAGGGATGGGTCAGAAGCGTAGCCCTGAGGAAGACAGCCACCTGTGATCTTATCAAGGGGAAGGAGGATAGCAACAGGAAAAGACAGAGAAGATCCTTATGTTCAGAATAAAAGTGAAACTATGAAAAAGAACTGAGAACCCTAGAAAGTGGGCACCTTGTAAAGGAAAGAACAGATTCTAAGCTAGAGGAGAGGGTAGAAACCAGAGCCCCCTAGAATAGGCCACACCATCAAAAGGCAATGAGGGCAAGGAGGCAGGTGGTAATTAGGCAGAACTGATCAATTGAGGGGCAAGGAGGGGGCAGCTTATCATTGGTCTGGGTTAGACACAGGCTGAATGTGAAAGACCCTGCATTTGACAGAAGTCAGGACACATCAGGATTCTGGGAAGTGAGGGACAGAGGACCGAAATCAGGGGTAAGCAGAATTTAGTAGATAAAACAAAATCTTGATGTTTGTGAGTTAGTAGGGGTAAGACACAACAAACAAGTCTTGATGTGACTCAAGATACCACCACAAACATGAGCCCAGAATAGGGTCTTTACCCTCTGCCCCTTTTATACTTTTGGTTGGTGTGGGTGTTTCCCAGCTCTCTGCAGGAGGAAACCGGAGCCAGAAGTAGTTGGAGGCCTATAGCAGGGTTGAGATCCTGCCTGGAGCTACGATTGCAGGAAAGTTCTGAACAGAGAGGGAAGATCAAAATAGGATTCTTTAAGGAGAGGATCCAGACCAGGGGCGGGGAAGCCCGTGGACCTCTAGGTCCTCAAGTTTGGCCCTTCACTGAATCCTTTGCTGAACTCGAGGCCCCAGGTTCCCCACCCCAATCCTGACTGTGCTACTGGTCATCGAGAGAGAAAAGAAAGATAACAAAATATCTGGGGGGCACAATGAGGTCACTGCTAGATCCTGTCAAAGCAGTAGGTCTAAGGTCAGTGAAGTTTTGCTCCCACGCTGGTAGGACAGAGAAGATTTGAACCTGGGCTTATTTCCAAAAGAAAATAACCTTTCTTTCCCTGAAGCCCCAAACAGAGTGATCATAAAGAAGGACAATTATAGAGTTGCAGAGCCATTGTCATTTTGACTCAAATCCTGAAGTCAAGATTGGAAGGATACTTCCTCTTTCAGAAACCAAATGGGAGGAGCTC